TCGTTATTGCCCCCTTCGCTCTTCTCTATGAAAGGTCCGTATCCTACTTCAATTTCTATTACTATCATAATTTTTTGAAGCAATTAATTAGCTTAATAAACATGTCGTTTTTAAAATTTTTTATATATACGAAACATTTTTTTTAGATTCCATATTTTGCTACTTGTGTTGAATCATGAATTTGCAATGGCCAATATATATATACCCATTGAACAAAGGAACTTGGAGATAATTCAATTATAGCAAATTCTTTTGCATTTATTCAAATAAAGAACACATATTTTTATACAACGTTTCCTGATAACGGTTTTTTTAACCTTTTTTTTCTCTTATATGATGAAAAATATGTAATATTTGAAGCGGATAATTAAAAGATTTTTTTTTTGTTAGAGATAATTAAAAGATTTTTATGCTTTTGTTGATGTGATTATGCAGGAAAATACGCCCAAAGATGACGGTCGGAGTGTTCCTACGAATAGCCTTGCTCGGCTTTATTGAGTAATACATATTCTATACTTTTCAGCTGAAAAATTTTGTCCACTTATTTTAATTAATGTATCACACATTAGAATATACATAATTTACCCTCTTTTTTTGTTGGAATGGTGCTAACAATATTTAACGGTCCAATAAATTGATAAAATATCTATTATTTATCAAAGTATAAGAAGGACAGATAGTAGTAGATTAATGTTGGGCTTTTTCTACTTTTGAGAAATTATTTTTTTATATATAAAATCATTGATAATTGGAGGAATAATTAATGGAATACATGACAGTTTCGGTTGGATGAATATTGAAGATCTTTGGTCGACACAGACATGATGCAAATTAACGACACGAAACTAAAGTACCGTATATATATATATATATAACCACGTAGTTGATGTCACTCGCATGTACATGAATTGAACTATATACGTATTTTAAACAGAAAGAGGCAAAGCAATTAATTAGAAATTAATTAGGATTAATATGTGTGTGTGTGTTGCCAGGCCAGTGTTGGATCAGAATCTCTACTATGTCGGGATGACTTACACGTCAGCAACCTTCGCTTCAGCCACCGCTAATGTCCTTCCCGCCATCACCTTCATCATGGCACTCATTTTCAGGTCACCATAATATTAAATTTTACTAAAACTTATATTTCTTTTAATCACTGATACCAATTAATTATGAGTCAGCTAAAATTTAAAAATGCTGTGGATATTTCTAAGCAATAGGCGGTCAAATATTAATAATACAATTAATATATTCCTATGCATTAAGCGGAAGGTGTAATTGGGTTTATACCGATCATCTATAGGATATTTAATACATGATCTCATAAAAAAATACGTTTATACTAATATGGAAAATAATTTTTCTCGATTTTGTTTTTGATGATGACTTTAATATAAAAAAAAAATATTCCAATGCCATGGGAACGAGGGGCACAAGTTCGTGGAACGTGACGCTGCTAACTACTTCATATGAAAAATTCTCATGATGAAAATATATAATATTATTATAAATCACATGGATATGATGATGACGCTGTTCGAACTTAATTCCATTACGTAGGATGTCACTACAATCATATATTAGTGATGAATATCATCATCTGAGTGATTATGTAAGCATTTCCATGTATGCATGTTATAGTTACATATATACCCATATCCAAGTGAATATGCTCACATATATATTAAAGAAAAGATTCTCCAAAAACGCATTAATTATTGAAAAACTCAGAATTAATTTATAAAATAAAATAAATCAGATTAGAGAGCGTGAACATGAAGAAGGTACGAAG